GCTCTGATCTGTGATACCTGGGGAATTACAACAGCAGCCCATGAAGACCCGAGCCCAAACCTGGTAAGCATGGACAAATGAGGGAACTCCTCACAACTGCACAGAGTGATCTTTGCATGGTGTAGGGTCCCCTTTAGGGACAGAATTGTAGGCAGACTGTGGAACTGAGCCTTCAACTGGTTGGACAGGAGATATAGTTTAGGAGGGGGGACAAAGAACATTTCAGGTGAGGGAGCTTGTCATTCGGTCTCAAAGCAAAATGACACACAATTTAAGAGACCAAACTGGGCTTTAATGGAAGAATATGGGTGTCAACTAAGTGGGAGAAAAAAAATTCACAAAACTAGATTCAAAAATGACTTATCACACCAGGCAAACCAATGTAAAAATGCTCTACATTCGGTGAAGACACTGTGGGGGATGAGAAGTGCACAAAGGATCTCTCAGGAGGCTGAGCTCCTGAGGCTGAGCATGACGTCAGCAAAGACAAGGTGCACAGGGAGGAAGAAGTTGTCCTCATAAAGGGATTGATCAATCATTGGCTTAAGCAACAATTATTGACAGCAGAGTTCTAGACACTATCCTGAGGATAGCGAATATTTATCAAGCTTTTATTGTTAGGTACTATTCTGAGCACTTAGTATGTAGTAATCTATTTAAACATCACAGCAACCCTACAATATTGCCACTAATATCATCATCCCCAGGAATAAGGAAACTGAGGCACAGAAGTAAATTAACTTTCCCAAGCCACACAGCTAGTAAGTGGCACAGCTAGGCAGTCTGAACCTGCTCTTTTAACCAAAATGCTACATTATTCTATCTCCCCCAAGTCAACTAAATCACACTACTGTAGCAGCTAGCAGGGCACCTGGGTGGCTCAGTTGTTAAGCGTCTGCCTTCGGCTCAGGTCATGATCCCAGGGTCCTGGGATCGAGCCCTGCATCGGGCTCTCTGCTCGGCGGGAAGCCTGCTTCTCCCTCTCCCACTCCCCCTGCTTGTGTTCCCTCTCTCGCTGTCTCTCTCTCTGTAAAGAAAAAAAAAAAATAGCAGCTAGCATTTATAGTGTTTATGGTGGGCCAGGTGCTGTAGTATGCCAGACACACACATTCATGCCAAAGATCACCTAGCTCCCAGGTAGATGAACTGGAATTCAAACCCTGACAGTTCAGGGTGCTTGAACCTGGAGGACAATAAAGAGCATAGAAGAGGAGGTAACTGACTTTACTTACTTGAGTGGCACTGAGTTGTGTCCACACTGGGTTGTCAGAAAACTTCACAGAAGACCGGCTCATGGGCTGAATTTTGAAAGATGACTGGTATTCATCAGACAGAATGATGGGGAAAAATGTTCCTTGCAGAGGGAATGGCAGGACAAAAAGAACGGAGGCTAGAAAGAGTTTGTTCATTTCAGGAAACTTCAAGCAGCCTGTATGGCTTGAAAACAGAGTGGGCGGCAGGACAAGGGAGAAACTAAGTCAGGAGAAGTCAGGGGGCCAGATCACACAGAATCTTACTTGCCTTCCCGGGAAATTTTAGATGTTTTTCAAATTTTTTAATGAAGTAAATGTAATGGCAAAAAAGACAGAAAGAAATATCCCCCAGGAAATCCAGTGGCTTACTCTGAACCCCTTCGGACTAGTAGGAATTTCTTGAAGTCTATTTTCTCCTAATAATGCATACATGGTAGTTTTTTGTTCTCTGTTTAAATTACTTACCCTCAAGAAAATGAGTGTTCCAGGGTGATTTGACCCAAGGACTTTCAGCATGCCTGGCACACCAACCTGTCAGGTGCATGGACTCCAGTTTGAGAAACATGGGGAGGGAACTATCAAAAGGATTTTAATCAAAGGAGCAATGTGATCTGATCAGCAGTTTAGAAAGACCTGGCAGCCGTATCAAAGATGGGTCGGAGTGGGATACAGGGAGTCTGAACACTTTTAGGGAAAGAGGCCCAGGGCCTAAAATGCAGGGCAGGATGGATAGATATTAGGGAGCCAGAAGAGATAGGATTTGGCACCTGGGGGTGGGACACAGAGAGGGACGGGTTTAGGATGACTTCCATAGACCTGGCTTAGGTCACACCCAGGAAAACTAGGGGGAAAAAAAAAAAACAAAACAGGTTCAGAGGAAAGGATGCCTGGACTTGAACATTCAGAATCTGAGGAACCTATGGATCCTAGGGGCAGAGAGCTCTGAGCTGAAAATAAAAGAGGTGGTCCACAGAGACAGCGGGCAGAGGGATAGAAGGCCAAAAGCTGCCAAAAAGGAATGGTCAGAGACATAGGGGCCAAGTGGGGAGAAAGAGATGAAGAGGAAATGCTCGGCACTAGGAAACGCCATGGAGATCAAGTAAGATGAGCACTGAAAAAATTCTGGATTTAGCCAGTAGGTTAACGTACATCCCTTAGTAATTTCTCTGGACAATAATCAGGAGTTGACCCAGGGTGGGCATTTGGAAAGATTCAGCCTCCGTCCTGCCTGGTGCTGGGATCAGCTCACACGGCTCCTATGTCCACAGGGCACAGAGAATACATTGTCCGTAAGGAGGATTATTCTGTACAAGCTCAGACAAAGAGAGAGGTTGTTCCCAGCTGCCTGGGGGAGGTGAGAATGGGTGGGAAAAGGGACCAGCCTTGCACAAGGGTATTCCTGCAGAGTTCAGCTTCCTCCCTGACAGCAGGACAGGTGAGCAATCTATACCTCCAGCTCAGTCCTCAAGACAGAACCCATTATGGAGCTGGAAGGAGCACTTGGCTACAACCTATCGATTTTGGCTGTTTCACAAGAAAGTACAAGGTTAAGTAAAATTGGCTAGGTAGGGCAGCAGTAGACCTCAGAAGGGGTGGAGAATGGGGTGACTAGAGTAATGAGTGAAAGGGAGGTTCAACAATGACAGAATTCTAGCCACAGGGCGGAGCTGGAGACGGACCAGTCCTAGGCAGTGGTAATGGTCCATGCATATATGGATTAAGTAAGCTTTTTTTTTTTAAAGATTTTATTTATTTATTTGAGAGAGAGAGAATGAGAGATAGAGAGCATGAGAGGGAAGAGGGTCAGAGGGAGAAGCAGACTCCCTGCTGAGCAGGGAGCCCGATGTGGGACTCGATCCCGGGACTCCAGGATCATGACCTGAGCCGAAGGCAGTCGCTTAACCAACTAAGCCACCCAGGCGCCCCTAAGTAAGCTTTCTTAATCTCCTTCAGTGGGATGGACTCGGCACTGCAATAAGATCTCATGGTTTCACAGTGCTTCATTCTCCATCCTAGGCATAATCCCAGGAGACGATAGCCTAATCTCATTTCCCAGGGGCCCCGAGAGTAGGAGAAAGCACAGTCCCCAGGCAAAACAGATAAGTCAGAAACAGAGGAATACCCCCAAAGTAGAGCAAGAGAGCCATCTTTTACACATCCTAAATCTGAACAAGTAAGCACATCACACCCTCTTCTTTAAAGGGAGCACCATATATATTCGTCCCCAAGGGAGTGGAGGGAATGCCTGGGTGAGGAGAGGGAGATACTTTCCATGGAGGCATTTACCAGGTTGTGTGGGTCCCAAAGTTGGTGATGCTACATAGGTGTGTGTACTCCAGAGGATGTGGGGATAGGAGGGGGTCAGAAATGAGAACGTGTGTTTCCAGAGTAAGTAAAGAATATAAAGATGTGAGTGCCTCTAGAGTAAGGAATGTTTGCATAAGGGCCCAAGATGTCGGTGAGGTCCTGCACATATTCCTGTTGGGTCAGGAGGCCATTTCCAGTCTGGGAGGACAAGGAACCGATTTCAAATATTATGGTGGGAATGAAGGTAGTATTAGTCTGAGACAACAAAGTAACTTGGGGTTGGTGCCTCTCAATAGGAGGGAATCTTCTGGTGGAATTAAGGGACGGCAGTCACCAAAAGCTCCTTCAAGGGTTTTAGAGACATACAACTTGAACTTTATCCAATATGGTTAGCTTTGACACTTCCAGCAGTGAGGGAAAAGGTAAGAACATAAGGAACACTTGAGCGGGCCAACAGAGCAGTAAAGCAGCACTGCTGAAGTGGGGGAAAGGTCTGGCATTGCCTCAGAGATGATAAAAGGACTCCCCACGCTGTTGGGTGCTATGACCACTGAACTCTGCGGATACCATCTCTTGTCTTGATGGAGCAGGAATGGATGTGACATTGGGGACCACTTTTCCAGTTCTTTGCTGCCACAGCCTGGCAGAATTCTGCCCGGCACCAAATGCCAAAGCACCGCTGTGTGACAGAAGCGAACAGAAAAAAGGCAGCTGGAAGGTATGAGCAGGCCCTCCTCATACCGCTCAGGACTTTTACATCAAAGCTAATCAAAGCTAAGAAAACGTTTTATGGACAAATTAAAACTGCCTTGCAGCAACTTTGAAAGTCTCTGACATATGGTCTCTGATCCCTATATAGCTCCCTTATAAATTGCTATTGCCTAACCCCGACACGGTGGCCAGAAATTTAAATAACTTTATTCAGAGAGGGGCACCTGGGTGGCTCAGTCGTTAAGCGTCTGCCTTCGGCTCAGGTCACGATCCCAGGGTCCTGGGATCGAGTCCCGCATTGGGCTCCCTGCTCCGCGGGAAGCCTGCTTTTCCCTCTCCCCTCCCCCTGCTTGTGTTCCCTCTCTCGCTGTGTCTCTGTCAAATAAATCAATAAAATCTAATAAATAAATAAATAAACAAACAAACTTTATTCAGAGAAACCCTTTGGTCTTCTCCTGACTCAAACCCTGCCCCTGCCTGCAAAGGAGCAGCAAGAAAGGCAGCTTAGGCTGCAGACCCAACTCACGCTGCTCTTCAGCTTTATGCAAAGCAGGCAAAGGTCCTGGTGGCTGTCCCCACCCACCAGCAATCTGGCTCTTAGTTAGAGTTTCAGTGGACTGGAAGAAAGCCATCCTGGCTGGAGTCCAGGCACTAGGTATATTATGAGGCCAACTGAACCCTGAAGAAAGGTGGTGTGAGGCATAATTCCCTTCTCCCTCTAAAACGAGAAAAATGAGTCCAGGAAGAAGGGGCTTCTTCACATGCTAAGAAAATCCCTTTCTCACACAGTCCTACCTGGTAGAGCCACTTCCTGGGAAGCCCCCACCTACTGGAACTGCAACATCTTCTTTCATGTGTATGGGGTGAGGTAAAGGATAGTTGACTTTGTGACTATTTCCCAGGTAAGAGCTGAACCGGCTTCTTAGAGGAGAGAAGGAGAGCAGACCCACACTTCACCAGAGCTGCAGGTGGGCCATTTGTCCCCGCCCAGAAGCTTCAGTGCCCGCAGCTCGGAGAGATGGCCAGGATGGAACCTGGGCAGGGGGGCCTGCAGAGCCAGCACGCCCCTAAGGACATACAGAGGCTATGACAGTTTCTGGCCACACAAAGTAAGCACAGACTTTCAAACGTAACAGAACAGCCTGTGATCTTGGGTCTGTCAGCTCACTACTGACGTGAAGCAGTATCAGATCCCGCTAAGTTCTGGATCCAGGATTGAGGAGGGCAGTGGGGAGAAGTGGCTGTAGAAACTACCATTTATTGAATACCCGTCATTTCATAGACTATACTAAGTGTTTTACATTCATTTTCTCATTTTAATCCTCACAACAACCCTATGAGGTAGGTATCATCGCCAGTTACAAATAAGAAAACAGGCTGAGAAAAATGAGGTCACTTGCCCAAGGTCACCCAGCTAGTCAGTGGTAGAGCTGGGATCTGTCTGGTGCTGAAAGCCCATGTTCTCTTTATTGTACCCATGTAGTTCACTTTGGGCAAAAGGCAATTTCACTGCCCAACTCTGTAAGGGGCACCTGGAGTGGAGGTTGCCGGCCACACTCACCGCTGGTAGGGATGCATTGAAGCTGACTTGATGTTGGTTTTTATTCCACTTGGCATTTTCCCTAAAAGGAACATGAGGAAATACACTTGAAGCATGGTGGGACTTTCATGATAAATCAGAGAGATGGTCTCCCAGGTTCCCTTCCGCCACCCCCTTCCTTGCTCTATCATCTCAGAACCTCTGTGGCCTCTGACCCTGAGTAGCAAAGATCAGAGATGTGGGTCCCTGAAGGTGTCTGGGAGGAAAGGGCTGATAGTAGGAGGGGTCAAAACACACCCCAGTGGTCTCCTGCTCAGCTACTCCCAGAAAAGACAGCTAGACTCCATTTAATGTCACAGGTTAAAAAAAAAGAAAAGAAAGAAAAAAGTTTTCTCTTATTGTAACTGTTTCTTTTCCTGGACAGCTTTGGGGAAAAAAAAGAAAAAAAAAGACCTCTTTTAGCTACATACATCCGGACTCCTCCAGACTGTTCTCATAACTATTAATGCTAAGCAGGACAGAGGAAACAGAGAAAAGAGTACATGGAGCTTGCCTGTTTGTCAATTCCCAGTGTACCTACTGAACGGTCTTAAGACCTTTAGTCTAATAAAAGACCCTGACAGCACACCTTGTACCAGAGTAAATGGGACAGAAAAGGTAGTTGAGACAGAACTTTAAGATGGGGGTAGGAGGTGCAGTTTCTGCTGCTCAAAGTTCTTCCTTTCTCTGGTGCCTGCTACAGAGTCTCAAAGGAGATTTTTACTCCTAAAAAATTGTTTTCTGAGTCACGGTCCAAGAAGAAAGGGAGAAAATCTCCAGCTCTGGGATGTTGGGGGCCCAGACAACGCAGCTTATTCCTACTTCCACAAGGTCTGCAACCATGTCATTCCCTGCCCCCTTACCTGTTTGACCTGTTTGAGCCATCTGTACCCCACTGAGCAGCGGCTGCTGCTGGCTTGGAGCTCCTGCCATCTGCACCTGCTGTAATCCTGAGGCTCCTGCAAGAATGGTCCCAGCTCCGGGCTGGCCCGGCTGGCCAGGACCACTGCTGCCTGAAGGTCTCCAATTAGATAGCCCCTTCCCAAAGGCCACAGCGGCTACTAAGGCATTGGTGTCTGCAGGGTTAAAGGTCTGCTTGTTTGGCCGGAGACCTGAAGAAAAAGGTGAAGTGAGGAGCCTGAGGTACGCCTCTGACCCTGGACTGAACCCAGCAAGAGGAAGACCAGGCTGAGCCCAGGGGCTCAGAGCACCAGGGCTCAGCAGCATCCACACTCACAGGCAGCCCAGAGGAAGAGCCCCCAAAGACCCTCACAGCTATCTCAGAATTCTCCCCTCTCGTTTTGCCCATTTCCTCCACCTGCTCCAGGGCTAGCCCTAAGTACACACGGCAAACAGAACGGAAACGTCCCTTTCCTAAGCAGTTCGGTCTTCTGCCCTCACTTCACCACCACCAAAACCACCACTCTTATTCCAGCGACCCTCTCCCGCTTTTCCTTCTCCATTTTGCCACCAATCCCTCCATACCTCCACTCTCCGATTCCCGTTCCTCTTTGCTGATTTTCTCCAGAAGGTTTGAGCACATTTTGTTCAAGCTCTGGATCTGCTTCTGTAACACATATATATTTGTGCAGAGATCAGGACAAACAAGAGTGTGGTGAAATTTCTTCCTTGTGCTCTTCCAGGGACAACTTATGGGTAACCAACTGTGCATCCCCACCACACACAAACGGTAATGCCTAGCTTCTCGTGATGGGACTTGAGGGATTCGGGGGGGGGGGGGCAGCAGGGCAGTGACGCCATCCAACCTGAGCTGCGTCAGCACCAATGCGGGCCGCATCTGTTGTTAGCTGCTTCTCTTGCTCTTCGACCTCAGGGTCGGGCTTGGTTCTCAGATGGTCAGGGACCACCTCATGGCTGAAAACAGGCACTCGTCCTTCGGTCTGCCGCTATAACACACAGATTTTACTGATCCTCCTATGCAGTTCAAGTAGATTCAGTCTGGCCTGATATATATGGTTCCTTCCACAGACAAACGGTACATTTTCAGGGAAAACACCACCTGACACTTAAAGTATCGAGCTTCCGAGGACACTACTGCCCTTACTCCCTGCTTCATTTCTGTCTCCTCACACTTCTATTTCTACCACGCCTAGAGGCAAGTTTCTTTGCTACATTTTAATAAAATACCAAAACAGACAAACTCACAAAAGAACATACTTTTTGCTCAAGATAGGTATTGGAGGAGAAAGGTCTTTGCCTTAGTGACAGAGGCCTCAGGTTTATTTGGCACTATTTGGGAGTGGCTCCCCAACTCCAGAAGGAAAAAAAGCAAGGTCTCCAAAATGCAGCCCTTACTTTCTATTGCCACACGCTACACATTCAGAACTTCTAAAATAACCAAGCAACAACTGTGCGCCAAGTCCTCATCTAAGAATTTAATTTCCCATGTTGTACCTTTCTCCTCCTCTTACCATGAGATCTTCATCACGGTCTGGGGACAGCACCAGAGGGATGATGACCTGATTACGGAACAGTGGTGTCTTTTCATGCTTCAAGACCTTGTTCAAAGTGTTCAGCTGTCCGGAGAGCAAGGCAAAGCTGTCCAGGACAGAGGGCCTGGTGGTGATAAGGTGCCAGAATGTTCTCAGTAAAGTAGCCTTGAAGGGGTCCCTCAAACTAGGAATTCCCAGGCTCATCCCAAAAGGACTCATTGCACTCCAACTGGACTGGGCAGGAGGGACACACTTTCAGTTTCTGACACAGGTGGAGAAATAAGGCAGTTCATTCTTTCAATGGGGTGAGGACCAGTGACAAAATAAGAACCATGGCTATACCTATCACTAAACATTCAGAAACTGGGTAAAAACATTCCAGGCCTGAAAATAGGACCCACACTTCCAGAGTAGGTTGGACCTAAAAGACTCAGCAATATCTGTGGTAAGAGATCCAGGATGAACACGAGATTCTCACCATAGTGGGAGGACCCACTGAGAGAGTACCTCCTCCCAGAGAAGTCAAAGGGTAAGAATCAAAAGCCAGAAAGAACTTGGGTTATGGGGCACCTGGGTGTCTCAGTCATTAAGTGTCTGCCTTCGGCTCAGGTCATGATCCCAGAGTCCTGGGATCGAGCTCCACATTGGTTCTCCCTCTCACACGCTCCCTGCTTGTGTTCCCTCTCTCCCTGTCTCTGTCAAATAAATAGAATCTTTTGAAGAAGAAAAAAAAAGAACATGGGTTGGGAAACTGGGTATTTCTCTACTTCCATGGCCTTAAGACAAACTTCACTTGTTAAATGCTGGTAAAAACCCAGCTCTTTCCAAATCAAAAGATGTTTGCTAAGTGAGAAGTTGTGACATCACTGGAGATGTCCTATCCACCAGGAGGCCTCCCCACCCCACCCCCAGCACCCATGGAGCCCTCCTCAGCTTGCCCTGGCAACCCTTACCAGGTCAGCCGGTCATACTCGTTCTCCAACTTGTAAATGAAACTCCCCAGTGAGTTCTTCAGATCAGCCACTTGACTCAGCAGTGCATCTAATGATGCCTCAAGCTGCTTCTCCTCCCTCTGCACCGACAGGAACAGGTTGGTTACCCAGAGAGCGGTGAGTATGGCACATACAGAGGAAGGCTAGAAAGCCAGGATGACAGTATGCAAAACTAGTCAAGTAACACAGGACTTCCCTAGCACAGGAGAGCCAGGTTGTTTTCTATCTTCGGTATTTGGGTTACAGACAGCATCAACCCTTAGACCTTTCAATCCATTCACCTCACCATTCCTCCTTTCTCTCATCATCTCCTAATTCATGTCTGGCTTTTCTCTGCATCGGAAATACTCTGTACTCTCTCACTGAGACACTTTCACCAGACCTAATGCCGGGGCTTTATTATCTTTGTACACCTCTGCAGCATATGTATTTTAGCTTCTCCTGTACTAGAACCTGCCTTGTGAGCCTGGTGGTTCTTGCCAATAACATAATCTCTGGGAAACCTACCCACACATGAAGGTTTCCCTGAATACCAGGCTTGTACCACGCTGCCCTCCACCCTCCCCCACTCTTCCTTTGCCCTCCACATTTGATGTTTTCAAATTTCTTCTTGCTGAATTAATCGGCACTCATTTTAACTCTGTGCCAATACTCCTGTGTCCCTTTCACAAGCTTAGTCAACTTATAAACATTCACGGACAGTCAACCAGGTGCAATAAAGTAACTGGCAAGTGAAAAACAAAAAAATGCACATGCTCCTAAGCACCAGAGAAACAATTTTAAATGCTGGGGTGTCCGCAAACATTTTCCTCCCATCTGTGGTCTCCAGTTTTATTTCATTTCTTCATCCTTAACAACTAACAGGCTCAGGGTGGGAAGAATGATGCAAAATCGTCTTGCAAACTCACCAATGTGTATGACATGAGCCTTGATCTTGGGTTCCACCCTCAGCCTCATATTATAATTAGCTCAGCTTTCGGCCATCCCCTCCCCCTCCCCCAGCAATTCCTTCACCCCTCGGGTTCCTCTGCACTTCCAGATCCCTTGTTATGTCTGCATCCAACAGCGTCCATCCAAAAGCCTAGGACGGGGCCTGAGCCAACCCGCCATTTTCTTGAGCCGTCTTCCTTGGAATGCATTTCAACTTTCCCAGGTTACAGTAGCCTCATCCTTTCGTGCACCACAGCAAGTCCACGCGTCCTCCTTCCTCGCGACTCGGCCACTGTCTCCTGCCAGATGGGCCCCACCCCCACCTTTCCAGTCGGCCGCGCCTCCCCATCCCGCGGGCCCTTACCCGCCAGCTACGGGCTCTGCCCTCTCCTCTCAGTCCCAACTCCTCACTCTCCTCGACCAGCCCACTCTCACTCCTGTTACCTGAAGCTAGCTAGCGGTCAACAGTCCCAACTCCGCTCTCACCTGCATTGCGTCGGCAACGGAGGCGGCAACGACTTCCCCTTCCGGTTTCCTACTCAGCGAGCCACTGTCAGAGGGCTTCGTCCCCCAATCAGAAAACTCAGAACTCGGCCCTCCCACTTACTTCCGTTTCCTGCCGGGCCGCAGTAACCGGGTCAGGGGTCACGAGTGGAGCATCTTCTCTGGCCCGGGCCCGTGCGGGAGGGCTGTGTGATGGCCTCGGAGCGCCCGGAGCCGGAGGTGAGGGGCGGGCGGGCGCAGCACTGGGCCCTGGGCCCCGAGCCCCGAGGGGGAGGGTCCGGCAGCCTGGCGCGGCAGCGACCCTCTCCCGGCCTGGGGGGCGGCCGTGCCGAATTGCCTGGGCAGGGATCGGCCCAGCCCCGAAGGCCCGACAATTGAACCTCCTCTCCGGGGCCCGCAGTTTCCTCAGGGGGGGCTAGAGCAGAAACCTGTCGCTTTGGTTTTTTTTATTGAAATTTCAGACACGTCGCCGACTCTAGGGCTCTCGGATTCTTCGGTCTTAATAATGATCCTGTGGTTTGATTTTCTGCTGCAGTTTCCGTAGGCAACACGGCAGTAGACCTACTTTGCTGGTTTATGCATTTCTCCAAGCATTGGAATGACATAAACAGCATGAATTAATTTAGTTGTAACGCTCATGCACTTGGGAGCAGCTTTGGTTTCGTGAAAAAACATTTGACTCGGAGTGAAACCTCGTTCCAATATTGGCGCTGCTATTTAGCTATCTGTGCAACTTTGGGCAAGTCTTGACTATCCGGATCCTGTTTCCTTCTTCATAAAATACCTCTCTTATGGTGTGTTGTGAGGACCTTATGTATTAAACCAGAAAATGTGTATGAGGCATCCATTAGGTGCTAATGCAAGGAACTTATACCTACATGTTATTCGTACTTGTGTGAGGAAGGGAAGGTGGCAATATCCGTTTTCATTTACAGATAAAGAAACTGAAAAGTGAAGGAGGTTAAGTACCTTACCCAAGTGCTACTCAGCTGGGAAGTAGCAGAGTTTTGAAGTTAGAAGATCTGAGCATAGAATCTTATCAGATTTGGAAAGAATATCACTAGAAGAGGTGCCCAGTGTTCTAAGAGAGTATGTGGGAAGGGTGAAAGATGTATATAATGACACATATAGTAGTCATTACTTATTGAATGCTTACTGCATGCCGGGCACCATTCTCAGGACTTTACCAATATCAGTTAGTGCTCTCATCCCTAGACACTTTTATCATCTCCATCTTTCATTTGGGGAAATGGAGGCACAGAGCTCACCAGAGTAACATGGTTACACAGCTAGTAAGTAGTAGAGCCAGGATTCCCAAACAGGTGACCTGCTTAATTTTTAACCATCAGGATTATAGTATAATAACGTAGCCACAGGATGGTAAATCTCCAATTTGTTGGGATTTGATGTGATGAGACCCAAGATTAAGTAGGAAACCTTGTACTGTTTAAAAGAATCAAATGGGGCGCCTGGGTGGCTCAGTCAGTTGAGCTCTTGATTTCAGCCCAGGTCATGATCTCGGGGTGGTGAGATCGAGTCCCACGTTGGGAGGAAGTCTCCTTGAGATTCCCTCTCCCTCTTCCCCTTTCTCCCTCAAATAAGTAAATAAATCTTTAGAAAAAAAAGAATCAGACATGTTCCACAGGGATGGTGGAATAGCCCATGCATAAGAAGTATCAATATTGAGAAAGAAGGAAAGAATTCGAAGTACATCTCCTTAAGGATTAAGATGAGAAGAAATGGGAGGATGTTATAGGGAAATACAACATACCTTTTAGGCAGGTAATCTAAAACAACATTGCCCAGGGGCACCTGGGTGGCTCAGTTGGTTAAGTATATGGCTGTTGATTTCTGCCCAGGGCATGATGTCAGGGTCATGAGATCAGCCCCAGGACATGCTCCACATTCAGCGGGGAGTCTGCTTGAGATCCTTTCTCTCCCTCTCTCTCTGCCCCTCCCCCCTCTAATAAATAAATAAATCTTAAAAAAAAAAAGCATTGTCCAATGGAAATCTAACAGAAGCTATATATGTAAATTTTCTAGTAGCCACATTTAAAATGGTAAAAAGAAGCCAATTTTAGTAATGTATTTTATTTAATTCTGCATTTCTAAGATATTACCATTTTGACATGTGATAAAAATTATGAGATATTTATCATTCTTTTTTTAACCAAATTTTTAAAATCCATCATGTATTTTACACTTAACAGCACATCTCATTTTGGACTATTGGACTAGCAACATTTCAGGTTCTCAGTAGCCCCATTTGGCAGTGGCTACAGTATTTATCAGTGCAGATCTGTAGTAACTTGAAGTCAGGACACATACTTGTGGGAGTCTCATTCAGCCAAAAGTTAAGCATGTGTTAAGTTCTTGGTTTGCATTTCCGAAAATTTTATCTCAGAAAGTAAGGGGAGTGAAGAGTTCTGTCCCTGGGCAGAAAAGTGACTGACTTTTAGAGGTTATTACAATCCCAAGACAAAAAAATTGGGCATAGTCAGATTTAAGAAATCGTTTATTCATCAAATACGTAAAATAGTTTATGAGTGCTACTATGGACTCAGAATTGTGCCAAGTATCAGGGTGGATGCCAAGCAGTGTAAGACAGACATGTCCCCTATTTTAATGGAGTAAACAAACACTGAATTATAATGAGGGCTGCAAAGGAAAACTAGAGTGAATGAGTGTTTAAAAGGGGTTCTTAACCGACTTTGTTAGGAAGTGTGAGGGGAGGGGTGGGTTGGGATGCCTTCTCAGAGAAATGACATTTTAGCCTGAAGACTGAGTAGAAGTTGGCCATGAGCAGAGGCAATAGTGAAAATCCTGGGGTGAGAAGGAGCTTAGAGCCTTCAGAGAACAGAAGAAGCAGCTGCTAATGTGAGTGCAATGTGACAATGAGAGTAGCTAGCACTTCCAGAGTGCTTACTGAGTATCACCTAGTCCTTGTAAAATCTCCATGAGATAGGCATTATTATTTTCCCGATGTCACAGATGAGGAAACTAAGGCACGGAGAGTTTAAGTAACTTCACCAAGGCCTTATACCAATAAGCAGCAGCAGAACCAGTGTTTAAAAGATCCTAGGTGCTCCAATTCAGTGGGAGATTGGGGAGAGATGAAAAGAAGAGTGAGGTTGAGCCCATGCTAGAGGTTCAGGACTTTGGCATACACACAGTAGGAAGGAGCCTGCAGACAGTTCAAGGGGGGGAAAGTGTCTAAATTATCTCAGGGGATTCTGTTAACAGAAAATAGCATGAGGGTTGGAAAAGGCTTCAAAGATTGATTATACCTTAATCACAAAGGGACGGGTGTAAAGAACAAAGAAAAGCCAACAAATTGAGATGGCCGATGTTTCCTTCATCCTGGTATACATGGTATGCAGCACAGTGCCTAATAATGTATTATTCATCTTGTTATACATGGTATGTAGGCCTCAATAAATGTTCCAAAGAATGCTAGGCTTCCTCTCCCATTGTTCGGATTCTCATGTTTAACTGCAACAACATCCTTATGAAGTAGATATTCTTACCTACATGTTATCAATGAAGAGACTGAGGCCTGGAAAAATGAAGTAACTTGTCCAAGCTCACATCAGTTTGAATCCAGATCTCTGACTCCAGAACCCTGCCTTCTCTTTGCCAGACTTCCTCCAAGAGTAATGTACTTCAGACTCAGGATTAAATATCAGGGAATTGAAGCTCCATGTGAGTGTGGATGCTGGGAGAACACAACCATTTCAGAGATCGTCAGACATTAAAGTGGAAGAATCCCTTGGGGAGCTTGTTAAATTTAGGTTCCCGAGTCCTATCAACTCGAATTCAGTTGGTCTGGGTGGTGCCCAGGAATCTGCATTTTAATAAGCACCTCAGGCCATTCTGATGCACCTGGTCCTTGGATCACCATTTGAAAACTACTGTTCTAGCTGCTTAAGTTAATTCTTAAGTCTCCTGGTTCTGATCAGTTACATCTTGCATGTGAGGACCTCTTCGAGATGATGGTTTGAACACATAGCTGTTGACTTCGAAGGATCGTGGATGAGGGAGAATGTTGTGAGAAAGCTCATGTTGAGCGAACGCCCCTGGTTTCGAAGCTCACGTTGAGCGAACGCCCCAGTTTCAAGAGATGGATTCTGTAAGAACTGGTTGATGAACTAGGTGGGCTTCAGCTTGGCCTTGGGCAGTTAATCCATCATTCAAAATAACTTTAAAGACAACGTAGAGAAATGGAAGCAATACAGTAGTGGAATTAAGCAGCCTACTAACTACTACTAATCTAAAGAATGTTTCTAATACCACAGCCCCTGAACGTGTCCTCCATCTGGTTTATCCCCCCTTTCCATCCTCATCTAGCAAATCCTCCTCAATCTTCAGGGTCACTTTCTCCTAAGATCTAGCCTGGGTCAGGTTACTTTGTTGTATGCTACCATAGAACCACATTCTCCTTTGGTGCACTTACTCAGTTTGTAATAATACAGAAATTAGAGTGATTATTTGATTAATTATTTTCTCCATTATAGGGTAAATTTTGTGAGAGCAGAGAATGCCAATTTTTGCTTTCCATGGTATCCTTAGGACCTAGCCTGGTGCTAGCATGTTGCTGGCTCTCCATAAATTTTGTTGACCAATGAATGAATGCACACTCATCTTGTCTTTGTCCTCTTTGGACCGGGATGAGGACTTGATGGCATCATGATCAAATTAGCAGGGAAATTAAGCTGGAAAGAGATTTGCTAGAAGGCAAAACAGCACTCTGAGCCTCACAATAGAATAATAGACTGAATTTACCCAATGTTCAGGACTAATTGAATAATTGTATGTGTCCCAAAAAGCCTGCATGAGGACAGAATGGAGGATATGTCTTAACAGCAACACAAGTGAGAAAGTCATGAAGGTTGCCTGCGCCAACGGTATGGTAAAGCTTACAAATAGAACTTAGGAAACTCTGAATCCGTGATCACACCTGGGTATTGTGTTCCATTCTGGCCCCCACATTTTTTTTTTAAAGATTTTATTTATT